TCACGCAGACATTAAAAAAAAAAACAGCAGATTTTCTCAAAAAATGTAGATTAATAAAAGAAAAAAAAAGTAATCTGCCTTACTCAGATTTCTAGAAGTGGTCATATTGGCTTAATCAACTTTTGTTAAAATGTTTGCATGAAGCATTTGAAATATGGCAAATTCCAACTATAAATTCCACATGCATGTAAATGTGGTCAATGATGGAACTCCAAAGCCTTTGCTAAATTACACCAATCATCTGAAAGAGACTAAATAAAACCACTCAAAACTGTATATCTGAAATGACAAGCACTGTCTTGTCAGGCAAAAGCTCTTTTTAAAATTCAAAAATGATCTTTAAGTGGCCGCACTCCCATTAGAGTTTCATCATGTGACTGCCGAAAAAAAATCCTTTTTCTGCAGATAAGCGGAACTGCCCTTGAGCAAAGTGCTCAATGAACCGTATCATTTCTCAGAGTCAGAGTATACATTTTAAGTGCATTTTCTTTTTTATGTGTTAAAGGCGGTAGGGTCGTGCAGCTGAGCATGCAGAGTTGACGTCAATTTTCACAGGTCATATATATACATGTAATCCTGTTTCAGCAGGAAGATAGTCAAGAACCAGCCTTCAGACTTCAAACACAGGCCAACATCAGCAGAAAATACAGAATCTGATCTAGAATCAGTTAAGGAACCTGACACCCATTGGACGGATGTAAAAAGACACAGCATGACTCAAACCGAGCAGGGACGCCACAGGAAAGAGGCAAAATATATGATTACTGTGGCAATTCAGCACACATTCAAAGCAGTGGCTGACGTCAGATTGCCTGTGTCAGTCAGTTATCATTAGATTAATCCTTCCAAAATGAAGAAGCTTTTAAACCACCAATCTATTGGACACAGAGATAGCAATGGAAGTGATGGCTAGCAATTAGAGGTTGCAGATACAGAACATGAATATTAAGATGAGATGTAAACTTGAGGCTACCCGCTTTCCAGGTGACTGAAGTCCAACAGGTTAAACTCCCTGTTATCCTGCGAATGATAGATGGTATCCACATCCTGAAAGAGCAAAAGAGATAGAGAAAGACAGAGAGAGACTCAAAAAGAGGAAGAAAACATATTTAGAGTGCAATAAATATCAGTGACACAAACAGAAAATGTCCTCTTCTCTTGCAGAGGATATTTTTGTGGTTAATAGGAAGCTCTTACCCACTGCACTTCCTCTTTACAGGTAATGCCATTGTAATCGCACAGAGCTGCATATGTCTCAGAAAAGCCCCCTGAAATGGTAGAAAGAGAAATAATGTGCCTAACAACGAAAAACTGCCCTACCTACACTCATGCACATAAAGGTTTCCCTTTCATGGGAACTTCGAACTGCGTCCTCTAGGGGTCGCTATGAGGAACGCCTCGTCGTGACCCGTGATTGTTAGAGCACTTAAAGCCAAGAACTCTCTTCTTATAAAGATCTATTTTTCTCCTCTGTATAGTGCTCTTGAGTTGGCTATACCATTTTTTTCATATTCTTAATGTCACATTATAGGTTCTTCATTGATTTCTGGATTCTTGAAAACATCAGTAAATAAATTTATTTCTAAATATTAAAGAATACAAAGTTTCTGTTGGATCTTAAAGGAATAGTCTCCCAAAAATTGCTTACAATTTAGTCACCCTCGGACCATCAAGGATGTGAATGAGTTTGTTTCTTCATCTCAACCAATTTGGAGAAATTTAGCATATCGCTTGCTCACCAATGTATGCTTTGCAGTGAGTGGGTGCCGCCAGAATTAGAGTCCAAACAGCTGATAAAAACATCACAAAAATCCAGAAGTAATCAACACAACTCCAGCCCATCAATTAATGTATTATGAAGTGAAAAGCTGCATGTTTGTAATAAACAAATCCATTAGTCAGGCGTTTTAACTTCTGGCCAAAATACTTCCTGCAGTGAAAAAGTCCATCCCCTGTTGTCTTCTCAAATCAAAGTCTGTTTTGGAGTGTTTGTGTGGATTTGTTTATTAAAGTTAATTGAGGAACCGGAGCAGTGTCAATTATGTGGGTTTTGTTATGTTTTTATCAGCTGTTTTAACTCTCATTCTGACGGCACCCATTCACTGCAGAGGATCCACTGGTGAGCAAGTGATGTAATGCTACATTTCTCCAAATCTGCTCCAATGAAGAAACAAACTCATCTACATCTTGGATGGGCTTAGGGTGAGTAAACTGTCAGCAAATTATCATTTTTGGGCAAACTATTCCTTTAAAACTCGTTTCAGTAAAATTTTGTTCTCAACTCTAATCCTGAGGACCCACTGCTTTGCACATTTTGCATATCTTTTTTATTTAACACACCTGATTCACATCATCAGCTAGTTAGGAGAGAGACAGATGTTTTTGATTAGATTGTTTTTTGATTGGATAACACAGGTGGACCACAGTCAGATTCTTTCCACCATTTACACAGACAATATGACATCTATTTTAATAATATCTGCCAGGAAGTAGGGATGTTTACAGTATGTGCTGTCTTCCAAAAACAAAAAGAGATTTAAAGTGTTCTCCTATTGCATCAAGACTGTGAAACAAGACTGTTTTGTTTCTCGTCTTCAAGCATACATTATAAAACAAGTCAAACACAAGGACAACTGTGCACTAGCACACTGCATTTCTGTCAGGACCACTGTCATCAAAGATGATTGACAATTAGCATACAGTTTGGATTGGTGGTATGGTTCTGTTCTGGGCAAGAACTCCCTGCGCCTCCATGCAGCCTAGCATGGATGAGAGCAGGGAGAGCAGCAATAACACCCCCCCCCAGGGTAAACAGAACAGAACCAACATAAATGTATTGCAGATATTGTTAAAGTTCAATCATTTTATGTACACATTTTAGAATTAGTCTGATTCAAGGAGAATCAGAAGGCTGAATCCCGACTGACAGAGGAGGAGTTGGGGATGGAGGAGGGTAATTAGCTATTGAGCAATGCGAAAACTGCTGATAATACTGAGGGACCTTATATATGAATGCCGTAGGTGTCGTATTCCCATTAGGTAGATGGGGATCAGCTGAAGGTCAGCTGATGCGAACTTGACTAACGTGACCTGCCAGAACTAATGCTACGCTTGATCTCTCCCTGTCACCATATGAAGGGCATTGAATAATTTGCATAGCGTTTCTTATACTCACTCACTCAATCACTGGTTGCTATTATGATTTTATTTTACTTTTATCATTCTTACTTGATCTTTTGTATTATTCTTTTTGTTGTTTTCTTAATTTATGTATTTGGCACAGTGTACTTATTCTGTCCTTCACTGTCTACAGCTGCAGCTGGCAAAACTAATATTGTTATATAATTTGTCATGAATAGCAAAGCGCACCAAAACCGAGTTGATGGCATAAATGCAGTGCATGCATTCAAAATATTCTATAAGATGACGGCAGTGGTGTGAGGGGAAGAAAAGAGATTAGAGAGATTAATATCTGGTGTATAATAACAAATACTTATGAGACTGTGTGGATGCATGAACTATATGTACTTATATTTCTCTCACCTCATGCCCTTTGCGTCTCCACCGAACTCTCAGAGCTGGGAGAAAATTTCCGATTTCCATCAGTAACATCTCCATCTGCGTGAAAGATGGAGGGGCTGAAAAAGAAGAGGGGGGGGGGAGAGGGGGATTCACAATGCATCAGAATCTCAGTTATTCTGACCCAGCATGTGAACACCTGGCCAAAGAGCTGAAACAGGAAAGAAAGCGAGAGAGTTGAACACAGAGACAGAAAAAGAGCGCTATTATGCATTGCACTAATCTCCTCCTGTCTGAATATGAGAAAATCTCTCAATTAACTGCTCAGCAGTACCTCACACCCCTGCTGCTCTAGCAGATACCGAATCCTATAGGCAGCATTATGGATTCTCCAAAAAACTACATTAGCACTACAAGATACAGTGCAAAGGCCACAGAAATCAGATTTGCGTCTATGTTCGGATGGTGTGAGCAAATATAGACTGCAACAGGACTGGTCTCTGCTTCAGACGTCATATTTGCTGACCGTCAGAGGCATATTACACATCTCAATCTGGCGAGCTTTAATCTGATTGGCTGTTTTTATACAGTTTCCGAAAATGAGGGCACATAGGTTTCTTTTTTTTTTGTCTACCTGTGAACAAAGATTTGTTTTAATGGAAAAAAATAAAATAATAATGGAATTTTCAGGTTAATGGAAAAAAATTCAGCATTAGTTAGTTAGATATCCATAAGAAAAACGTCTCAGGTTACGTATGTAACCATAATTCCTCGAAGGAACGAGACGCTGCGTCGGAAAACGCTAGGGGAACGCCCTTCAGCGTGACCGGCTCTGAACCTCGTGTGTGATCAGACTAATAGATGGGCGAGACGTCACGGGCGGGTGACGTAATGACCAGGAGGCTATAAAAGCACGTGCGGTGAGACCAGCGTCAGCTTCCAGGAATGAAGCAAGCGCTGGCAGAGATGCCGAAAGTATGGCTCTGAGACGCAGCGTCTCGTTCCTTCGAGGAACTATGGTTACATACGTAACCTGAGACGTTCCTCTTCAGGAACTCTAGCTGCATCGGAAAACGCTAGGGGAACGAGAATGCCCATGCCGCCAGACTTCCAAGTCTCTGCCTAGTGTGGAAGACTGCACAGCTAGGGCGAGAGAACAGAAGAGCCAGGAGTGGCTCGCATGTCTAGACCGTAGAACCTAACAAAGGTAAGGGGCGTGGACCAACCCGCAGCGTTGCAGATGTCCTGCATAGGCACACCCGCTAAAAAAAAGCCTTAGAGGCTGCCACACTTCGAGTCAAGTGAGCCTTGACCCCTAACGGCGAGGGGAGATCAGAGGACTCATAACAGATGGATATGGCATCCACTATCCACCGACTGAGGGTCTGTTTAGTTGCTGGAAGACCTCTCTTAGGGGGACCGTAGCAAACAAGCAACTGGTCCGCCCTCCTCCACAGGGCAGCTCTGTGGACGTATGCATCCAGTGCTCGCACCGGACACATACAGTTTAGCCTCTGCTGGTCTGGATCCCCAAAGGGAGGAGCCTCTGCTGCACGAGGAGGGACCACCTCGATGGCCTTCATCCTCAGAGAGCGTCTACTTTTGTTCCATTACCAGAGCCTCACTACAGTGTGCAGGACCTACTGAGACACGTTTGGCAGTAGTTTCCACGCTACCAAATATTCTACTAAGGGAATCAGTCTCTCGAGACTGATCTCTGGTGTAATGAGAGCAGCTAGCTCGGTGCCCTGTAACGGCGGACAGGTAGGGGACATCCGACCCGGCTGCTCTAGAGACCTCCGCGGAGGTGGCGAGCCTCTTACCACCGCTACGTTGCCGGGCGGTGACTGAGAGTGGCGCTCGCGGGAGACCGCTGTGCCCTGGAACACCGCCCTCCGAGGTCCTGAGCCACAGCATCAGCTGAAGTCTCCTATTGAAAACGACGGCAATTCAGACCCACGTCGTCTGTTAGGAAGACTAGACCAGAGCCTGCTCGGGGCAGGACCCAATGAAGCACACTTGGCTGGGGCTCCCACACCGCCAGGTGACCTCCTAAGGAAACCAGTCTCGCGAGTCTGGCCTCTGGTGCGCCTAGAGCAGCTAGCTCAGTGCCCTGAAGCGGCAGACCGGCAGGGGACAACCGTACTAGCTGCTCTAGAGACCTCCGTAGAGGTAGCGAGCCTCTTAGTACTGCTGCTTATTATAATATCAGGCATAATATGCTTGTGTAACTCAAGCTTGTGTAACTCATGTTTGTGCAACTGGCGAGCTCTTCCGACGCCCTACGTATCAATCTCCTCGGAGAAAGACAGGCGGAGCGTGAGGAACTATCTATTTCACTTTGCAGTGTAATATAGCAAATATAGCAATAATATAGCAAATTTTAGCAGCACATTTCTTTCAGCTTGTGAACACAAAAGAAGATATTTTTAAGAATGTTAGAAACTAAATAGTTGACGGTAGCCATTGACTTCCATAGTATGGAAAAAAATACTAAGTCAATGGCTACCATCAACTGTTTGGTTATCCACATTCTTAAAATATCTTGTTGTGTGCAGGAGAAGAAAGAAACTCATACAGGTTTGGGACAAGTGGGGGGTGAATAAATGATAACAGAATTTAAATTTTTGGGTGAACTATTCCTGTACAGTAATATCTATTATTTACCAAAGATTTCATCATAACATGTACTGATAAATGGGAGTATTGGAATTTTATGCATATTACATGAGGTTTCTTTACAAAAGTAAAGATTTTGTTATTGTTAAAAAGTTTTTAAAAATTGTATTGCAACATTAGACCTCGTGAGCTTGTATCCTTGTTTGTCTTATGTCTGTAATATAATATAATAAATATATATAACTGTAATATGTATATAAGTATAACCGTAATATAATATAATAATATAAATACGTATTTTGGATTTAAGAAGTCTATACTAAAAAAACTTCCACACAATTACTTCAGTAATTCTTTCAACAGCAGCCTATTGTGGTATAATCTATTTTAAACAAACCTGCCCCTAAATGCAATGCAAAAACAAAGCTTTTTTGCTTTTTGTGTCAGTCAGACAGTTTAATCTTGTCTGAGTGGACGGTTCTTCGCCAGAATAAGCTGCAATGGGGACCATTATGCTGTTCAGTCAAAGTCTGGCTATGCAGGACCACGGTAAACTTGTGGGGTTCTTGGGACACTTACGTGTAGATGGAGTTGTTGAAGATCCGAGAGAGAGCAAAGTTGATGTGGCTAATCAGCTGATCCAGGTGGTCATTAGACTGCAGCCTCAGGGAATATGGGGACTTGTCTGTTTCTATGACAACCTGTGAAGGAAAGAACACGCTTTAGTGAAGCAAAACGATGGAGAGGAGCACTGGAGCCCTGTAAACGCTTTTCCTACTTGATTATCCGGGTGGGTGTTCATTGCCCGAATCTCCAGGAAGTTGAACGTTTGTTCCACCTGGGGTGAAAATGAGCATCTTGCTACATAAGTCATGCTAAACCAGATTACTGCAGTGTTTGAGACGGAGCAGACAGGTGGTGCGTAATTGCCTACCGTACCTTGGTTGGTATCTTGGGGGCCATGAGGTACAGCCGCCATGTTGCCAAAACCTGAGAGACAAAAGAGAGGATGAAAGCTCAATAAATAAAGTACAAGATAAAGTAAAAAGTGCAAGACAGTGTTCTAAGAAATGATAGTTTAGGTTTCTCTGGAGAACAGCCTGTTCAACGGAATCTAATGGATAGCAGACATTATATACTGTAAGTCATAAAGCAGTTTGTCTTCTGAACTCTTTACTCATAAAGATAATACTATATACAACTGGGCTCTTGTTTGCTGAAATGTGAATTACGCAGCGGCAGCACAAATGTATTTGTATCCTATAAAGTCCACTGTATCATATTTGGAACGCAAATTTTTAAGGTCTCAAAGATATACCATGATGAAAAGTAAAAGGCCACTTTTAGGTCATGGTACACATTATTGTTATTCAATTTTTACTGATTTTTATAAAGTAAACATAAGAATAACTTTTATATTATTAGTAATATTTTAAGATGAACACTTACTGGACTAAAACAACTTGAAAAATCATGTTAAAATGCGAGTATACGTTTTTACAACAGATACATCAGACTTTTGTAGAACATTTATTTGTATCTCTCAATCATCTCTGCATTGCATTGCATTATATGTTTTGCCCCCAGCAATAAAAAGTAAAAAGCTTTGATAATAAAAACTAATCATTTAATTGTCAATTTAAATGTAATTTATATGGATCTCATACTCACAAAGTCGTCAGTCTTGGTCATTAGAAGGGGGCGATTGACTAATATTCTAGAAGGCCCGTACCTACTTTGCTCATTCTAGAATATATAATTTAGTCCCCATAGATCTGAACACAATCAATTAAGGTAAGACTATATCTAACCAGAGGTCATTACCATTACCATAGAACCAAGTTGACCAACTTAACTTGCTCTAATGATAACTTTATATAATCATGCCATGGTTTCCCATGTACACCTAGTTAGAATCATTTTACAATAATCAGAGGTTGAGGCTGAACCCTATTTAAATTGGTCAACAACAACACTGTTGCTCTAAAAGGAAAACCCATTATTAGCCTCTACACTCTAAGTATACAGTACATGACTAATGCGATGTATTAGCTGGAGCTCTAAAACAACAGTCGGTGTGCCCCTCTGCTCCACCTAAGCTGCATTTTAGTCCGTTACTAACATGAGCGTAGATTTGTGGTGTTATAAACTAAACGTAACATACTATAGTCATTCATCTCAAAGTCAGAATTACACTTACACACAATTACATAGTCATTTCAAATCAATACAAGACATCTAATTCTCAAAGATAAATCTAAGAGAAAAGATGCATTCCTGACTTCCGAAAAATACATAGTATGGAGTGTATAGACTAGGCTTGCCGCGATCGACGGTGTTGACGGTGATACCGGTATTACGTCACTTGTCCACCGCGGCACCGACCCCCACCGTCGTTTTGATTTTTTGTAGTAGCCTAATAAAAATAATTTAGGTTTACATAGCCTATTTCCAGTTTTGTATAACTATTTAAACTTTATGTAAGTTGTTTGTTATTTTATATTAGGCATAGCCTGCACTATATAGCATGGTGTATTTTTATTTGTTTTGTTAATAAAAGTTCTATGTTTTATATATACGCTAAAGTGAGTTTGCCCCCGCCCCCACGGTGATACCGGTATTACCGGTTTTGTCACACGTCGATTAACCGGTGGGAAAATTTCCTCACCGTCACAACCCCAGTATAGACACACTCCACACTATGGGCTCATCTGGCTACAGAATCGTGTAGATCTTCTTGCAACATTAAATATTCAGATCAAGACAAACATCTTCCAAATGGAGACAGGAACGAACAATTGGAATTTGCATTGATCAAGGCCTAGACGTGAAGAGTTTACACCTTTTGGGGATAGATGGTGATTTTCATGAAATACACTGGGAAAGGACACACCCTCTACAATAAGCAAAATATCTCTGAACTAGGATCTTTATTATCTTTTAGTTTACTTCTTGTAAGATTGTACCAGTTGCACTGAGACATTTACATACAGACAATCATGACTGTAAATATCACTTGCATTCATGTAGAACATTATATTTTGCTATTGACCATACTGAGTGAACTGAGCGAAGGGAAGAAAATGGATCTTATCTCAGTTAGATGTGGAAACAGATGCCTGTACTTTAATACACTGTGATTGTATTGTCTGTATCTCAGAAGATCAAAGTGTCTGAGGTTGTTCTAGTCTTACAGTTCTATAACAAAAGTATAGAGAAACTGTGTACACTGGGCACTTCTATGGGTGCTGTTGTTTATGGATTTCGCATGTGTACTGAAGTGAGGCGAACGGCGTTACAGACAGATGAGTAGGCGCAGAGAGGAAGGAAGAAGGATTTGTGTGATGTCTGAGGATTACAGAAACATGAAAAGAAGGATTGTACTATATTTTGAGAGCGAGTGTGTATGTGTGTGTGAAATAGCATGGTAAGGTCTGGAGAAACCTCATAATCTCATTCATAATTTAAATTCTTCATTAGCATACTTCATTTAGGCCTTTGTCACACCCCACACACCAATCACTCCCTTCCTCATGATCTAAACCAGTGGATTTCAACAAAGCAGGCCAACGCCCACTAGGGGCTGCAGGATGACTTAAAATGATTTAAATCAATATGTTATTATAAAAAAAATAATTTATATTAATGATATATTATACAGGGGTCATTTGAATGCTCAGTAAACAGTGGGGGCCTTTGAGTCAAAAAGTTTGAGAACTACTGATCTAAACATCAGCCAGTTTCCATCTTACTGCCCTTTTTTCCCTCTCCAACATTCTTCCACTCATCTCGAGATGTTCTTTGTCTGATCTACTATGTATATTCTCAAATCCTCTCTTCAATTCAACTCAAAAATCTCTGTTTCCTCTGATTCAGTGCGGCCCCCACAACCTAGGCCCCCTGGTTTCTTCACCCTCCTTCACTCATCTATTCTGTTTCTGCCCTGTCGCTTTCGATTCTTCAAGGCCTCCCTCCAATGTATTACTAATGGCACCCCACCAAGAAGAAGAAACAGAGAGATGGAGATCCCAGATTTCTCCTTAATAAAGACTTCGTATAGGCTTTGATAGCGGGTATTCGTATAGGCTTTGATGGAGGCTTGGGTTGGATGTTTGGGGCGTTTTGTGTAAAGGAAGTTCTCGATGCTTTGTCAGAGTTAACAGAGACACAACCACTGATCACGAGATGACATTTTAGAGAGTGCACCCCACCTCAAAACTCAATAACGGGTCAGGAAAACTTAGTTATATAAATACGCCCCTCAAGAAAGAGAGATGACGCGAGAGAGACAGATAGAGGAAGGAAAAGTCAGTTTGGCAACCAGAAAGCGTCGTCTACTCATCAAAGGCTTTACTATCAAAGGAAGCAGACACAAAAGATCGGCACGTAAACAGCCACATTAATTATTAAAGCCCGCTGGGGTGTTTGGACTTGACCGAGTTTGCATGGATGGATGGAAGAGGGGGGACCCCCAATTAAGGAACGGATCAGAATACATCAAAGACTACCTAACACATTGCATGGGTGGGGACCGTAGCTGATCGCATGGTAATGAATTCAGCAGTTAAGCTACGACGCACATTACTCACCCTGCTGTTGAGCGCAACCAGAATATGGCATCCAGCATATAACGATATCAACATTAGTATTCATTATTGGATCCGAGCCTTGTTGAGCAAGCCTTTTTGTGAGGAAAACTGCGGAGGACGGGCCCAAGCAAGGTCGGCTTTGTCTGCAACTACTCGTCCTCCGAGTAGGGGGTCAGAGGTCAGGCGGTTTGACTGAGACAGCCACCCACCGCATCCACTCGTTAAGGTGCAAAAAAAACACTTTCATCCTGCGATCGCAGACGTGGAAGGTAGACGGGATGACTTCAGTCCGTGGCTTTCATAGACCATTCGAGCCTGAGGAGATCAGACTGGTTCAACACTTGCCCTAAAAATCATCCACCACCTCTCAGTACCGACTTCAAAGAATGAGAGATATGAGGATGTGTGTGTGTGAGGGAGGGGAGGTTTGTGTGTGCAGAAGAGAGAGGGTTTATATTAATCATACGATGTCAGGGATCTGGCTTGACACTTCAAACACGACCCATAATTCAAAGGGTGTTGGGGACACGTCAGCGCTGTGCCCAGGAGATTCGAAAAGAGCAGCAGATTGCTCCAAACATGCCCCTGTACATCTCTTCTCAGACACATCACACCGACTTGCTTGCACGCAGGTATCATTGCCTAAGACGGACCCATTTTGGCTGTCAGCCTTTGTAGGTGAGAGGAAGAGCGTGGATCTACTCCCGCGGCAGGTCCGCGTCTTAACTGTACTGAACTTAAGAAGCGAAGGGATGAGAGCAATAAAGAGTGAGAAAGGAGGATAGAAGGAAGGACGGATCAGGGCTGAAATGCTGTGTGCTCCAGATTCACAGATGATTAAAAGTCTTGGAATCAAAGCAGCTCTGTAACTAAAGCCCAGAGTGAGAGAACAAGAGAGGAAATAAAAGAGAGATAGAAAGACAAAGACAGAGAGGAGGGGCTAAAAGCTTAAGACTGGAGGAAGTATGTTACTTATGTAGTTTTCTGCATTGCCAGCCTGTTCTTAATGAGTATTTTTGTCTTCTTTTTAGTTAAAGGGTTAGTTCACCCATTCATTTATTATTTACTCACCCTGGTGTTGTTATAATGCCTATAATTAAAAAAAGACCTGTTTGCACTTGTGCTTATAATGGCAGTGAATAGTGACCAACATCAAGCTTTAAAAAAAAGACACAAGAGTATCACTGAATGGTCCCATGCACCACGCTGTATATTCCAACAGTCGGAGTGAACTGCTGTGCTAATAGAGTTTCGTGAACACATGGTTGTGCACATAAGACCAAAAGCCAAGGTTAGGATTTTTGTTAAATAATACATTACATTTCAGTTTGTTTTTCATCAAACACTCGTATACCCCTAAAACACTTTTTCAAATTTAAGAAGGGATTGGAACAACGCCAG